TTGCTCGGAAAGTGTTTGATGTATAGTCTCAATGAAATTGTTCTGTAGTTGTGGCACTTGGTGTTGGCTACAGCTTCTGAATTGGGATATTGCATTTATTTGTTTGTACATTCCAACAAACTCTGTAATAATGGGCCTACAATTGTGACTTCCCTGCTGAATTTGGTTCTATAAGTAGTAGTGATATTTGGGGAAAAATTACCTCTGTCGCAACCTGAGTTCCAAAAGAAGAAAAATCCATCAAATTAAATGGGTGCTGTTTCCTTTCCCTGTTCTGGGAGTTAAGTTATTAGATTACTTTGTTTATATTTTGATGTATAATTGACATGGCCTTAGAGAATTTTGACATTTGGCGGGAATTACTTATTTATTCTCTGAATTTAGCATGTTTAGGCGATAAAGAAATATTCTTTGTGAGGCTTGCGAAGATCCTTTGCTGCTAGCTGCAAAATCTTATTTACCTTGTTATCATGTTAAGATTTCCAATCAAGGCAATGTGACTGATAAAATACATCTTAAAATTTATTCCTTGTTCATTTAGCTTCTTATTAGCTAGATAATAAATCTTGTCATCTGAATTGCTTTGCATATTATAAATCCATCGTGACCATAGGCCATTATGTAGCTAATATAGGGCAAAGAGGTTTATACTGTTGCATCCGTTTGGTACTTTAATTCCTTCCTTTGGTTGTTAACTTGATTGGATGTGCCCACCTGACTATGGCTGTTGTGATTGATTTCAGGTGAAGAACCTCCCGAGTCATTGTTTATGAAAGAATTAAAAAGGCAAGGTATGACACCTACTTCATTGCTTGAGGAAAAGAATAGGAGTATTGAGAGCAATGATCAAATGAAGTTCAAAGAAGAAGGTCGGAGTTTCTCATGTAGAAATGCAGTGAGAACAGATTCTGAAATAAATCTATTTAATCAGAGGGAGCAGTCTATGGCACTGAACAGTGAAGGCCTTGAGGTGGTCACATTCTCCCTTTTGTTTACATTTAGTTAATTGAATAAGTTCAAAGGTCCTGTTAAAGTAGTTTATGGAGTTTTAGGAATTTGAATTCTTTATCTAACTTGGCTGTCCATTATAAGTTTATAACCCATATAGTAATATTGCAATTCTCATTTAAGTTCCATGTATGCTATACTTTTTTCCTTTGAGTGATTAGATTGTAATGTTGCACTATTTCCCACGCTTAACACTTACTGGAATTGTTATTTAGCCATTGAACTATGCTTCCAAACTCGAGTTGTTTTCACTTGGAATTAGAGTATTTTTCTCCTCCAGACTTCTAGCCATACAAACGCAGTGCTTCAAATCTTGGTATCAAATAATGAAATATGCATTACCCAACATCTAGGTGCATATACAATAGCATTCTTGTCCAATTAATGAAAAATTTAAAGTTGGCTGAACTTACTGCTGGCTTACTTCCATTTGATTGACATAATTCATTTATTCAATTACCTTGTTGCTAAAATGTGGATTGAAGAAAGGCCTGATTGGGAATTCACTCGAGTTTCATTTTACTTATTTTTGTATTTATTTGTTTTTTGTTTGATTTTTATGTGATTAGATGTAGATCTGATGTTTAAATTGAGAGATCGATGTTGCAACTAGGTAACCGAAGAAGAGGACGTTCAAGAAGTTCAGCTTTAGGGGCATGGACCTCGATGCCATCCTTGATATGTCTATTGACGAGCTCGTTAAGCTCTTCCGTGTCCGTGCCTGTCGAAGGTACATTTTTTGTTATTCCTGTTTTTTATAATTTTTTACAGTAAATTAGTGGTCTGTGCTCAATGGAAAATTTTGAGTTATTCGTGTCTGATTGCGAAAATTTTATGTTTAATAATCTGACTTTTTTGAAACTTTTTTCTTGTTTCTAAAATTGTAAAATTCTTTCAATGATTGAGAATTCTCTCACGGAAACTTTCTGTGGCTCTAGAAAGTTTTTGGGTTATGTGCAAAGTTGAAAAATAATATACATTACATATTTGCATAGGAAAAAATAATTATCTTCTTTAGGTAATTCAATTTCATCTTTTAATTGATTTATGGCATGTTTGGCAAGGTTTTAAGTCAATACAAACAATACTAAGGAAGAAAAAATTCAAAAGTTCAGTATATTGTATTGCCAAATATTGTTCATTATTATGTCCCCAACATGCCCTCAAGATTTTGCTTCTTGGAAGTTATTATTGGTTTTTTTGCAAAGACGTCTTTAAGTTGCATCTCGTTTTTTTGATATATGGATTTTCATGTTATGTGATGATTTTTTTGGTTAAATTTGGCATATGTTACTACAAGATATACACAGCCAAAAACATTGGCTAACCAAGCAAGCTATAGTCACTTGAATCTTAATAATTTTTGGCTGGTTCTTCCGAAACAGGATTATGTATTGACTGTTTTTCACAACTTCAGTGCAAATATGGTTGTGATTTGATGGGAAATAGGGACTTATCGCTGGATGGCCTCGTAAGTTTCTTCGTTTTCAAAATTCTTTATGCTTACCTCATGAACAACATATAAATTTCTAAATTTTTGTTATAATTTTTTTTTTTTTTTTGTACTTGGATCTGTACAGAACTTGGCTAGGAAGGTTAAAGTTTTACAAGTGTACCAATTGTGTACGGTAATATCGCATTTTGGCTTCGGAAGAAGCCAAGTGAGCGAGTAACTATTTCTATTTTTTGTTTCCTTAGTTGATTGTATTGAAATTGCCTGCGAAATGTTCGATGATTTGCTTCTTTGAACATTTGGTTATTTTTTATTTTTTTATGGGTAGGTACCAATATCATAAATGGATGGTTTATATTCACGGAGCAGGAAATGAGGACCTGAGCGTGATGATAAATTATGATGTTTTCCAATTGCATTCCAGTTTTAATAACCTAACAAGGATTGTGGAAAGCCTTCCTTTTGAGTTATCCGAGTCTGGATGGGGTGAATTTGAAATTATCATCACTCTTCATTTCCAAGTAACGTCACTGATAATCCTTTACACTTGTTAGCTGCATTATTAGTTATCTCTCTGTGTGTACATCCATGGACCAATCAAAACTGCTTTGAACTGTAATTACATCTAGCAACATAGATTTGAGTGTTAAAGAGTTGGAATGATGCGACTATGGACCTTAGGCCTCGATTTTTCAAACTTTACTAATGAGTTGGCTGATATTAATCTTTTAACTTAAATGCAATGACTAATGAATTGGCTTCTGCATTTTCATGGAATGTCCCTGTAAAATGTTGAGATTGACTGTGAAATAATGAACTGCATATAGGTATCATCATTTGAAGTTATACCCAGGGGATGGAATCCTAAGAAGCATGTTGTCATGGAATCCTCGATGAAATTGTTTTCCTTAAGCCTTTAGAGGGTTTCCTATCACGAGCAAAAAAACCGGCCTGTAATTTTGCCTAGACTACATGTGGGCATTACTTCGCCTTCTGGTATGTTAGTTTTTTTCTTGCTGTTCTTATTTTGTTTGTTGTTAAAGGATTTTCTTTTTCACCGTCCTTCAATATGTTTTTTATGCTCATTCATAATACCAATGGAGGATTTGACAAAAGGTAGAGGGATCACACCAATGTTCATCCCTTGAGCCAATAGTTTGGCAACTTTTCTGAGGCAGATGAAGATTACCAATTTTGGGGTTGCTCGTACTGAGATGCAGACTAAATGAATAACACTGGAAACAGGGATTTATTGCTGGATGGCCCAGTGAGTTTCTTCATCTTTTTTCTTCCTTCTGCTATGATTATTCCTGGCTTATATGATATTCCTTCTGCTATTTTTTATTCAGTACTAATCTTAAGAATGAACAATTTTATTCTCGGAGATGGTGTAATTGAACAGCGAAAATTGTTCTTCCTCTTCTTACTGTGTATGCGCGTATGTGTCTGTCTCTCTTTATCCCCGTCTCAAACTAAATGATTTTTTACTACCTACTTTCCCAAGCTTTTGTGCTCTTTATCTATTAAACTTTATGATTCAACGATTTCATAGGAAACAATAGTCATGCAGTGATTGGAACTGCCATAGGAGGCTCGGTAAATGTCTAAATGATTCTTATAGACACAATTGGGCTATTCTGTTTGTTGACATTATTTTTAGTCTTGGATCTGTAATCATGGTTGTAGCTCTGAATCCTTACGTCCAAAATACCACTCTACGCAATTACAAGAAGGAAAAAGATTGCATCCTGTTTAATAGAATGAATTTCTCACTAAAGTTTGCTGCAAACATTCAAATAGTTACCTTAAGAAAATATTTACTGATCCTCAAATCGATACAATTTTGCCTATTATATAAACAGAAAAAGATTACTTTTATATGATCTTATTGGATCATATATAGACATTTTAAATCCTCTTTTCGATGTTTAACTGTTTCTTATTTTTGGTTCTCACAGGTAGGAAATATTTACAAACACCTCCCCTATTTCCAGGCCTTGAGTGTTCCAGAGGTGCTTCGGCCACTTTATGAATCACCAAACATTATAGCACAGAAAATGACTATTGCAGTGAGTATGACTCTTTAATTTTCTACGTGGTTGAGGCTTTCTAAAGATCATGCGAAGATTTATTGATCAAGTACAAAGCTAAGAAAGGCCAGAATTTTTTACTGATTTTGCATTTAGTAATGTTGCCTTTCCTTATATTTTACTACCCAAATGCACTATTAAAATCTACCCCTTCACCTTTTTAGTTCTGTAACTTCTGTTTCAATGCTGACAAGATGGAAGGTGACTTCTTTTTTTTTTTGGATTTGGTTACGAAAGGCATTGCGATATCAGTTAAAGTGGTGAGAAAGCATATGGTCTTGACTGGAAACCAGCTGTTCTACGCACTTTCAGCTAGAGATTAAGCGAGTAATTGCCTCTATCTTCTAAGCATATTTAGGTTTGCATCTAGAGACGTGTTATGTACATTAGTGTATACTATCTTGTATGTAACATAGTATTTCTCCTATGCAGAGGCTTAAATGATGCAATTAACAGCTTCAATGATGTTGGCTGGTCATTATTGAACTTTGATGGGGCTGAAGATGTAGTAGTCGCCATCAACTCCTCCAAAAACCTGGGTGCTGGATCAAATAACATTTCCTTTATTGGAGGCGTTCTTTGTGCAAAAACATCTATGCTACTTCAGGTGATTTTATTTATATATTTTATTTTGATACAGCTTTTGTTCTTCTTAGTGCTTTGTTCGCTGAAATTAGTGACACCTCATCACTTTGAGAAACCGAGAAAATAAATTGGAAACTTGTGTTCCAGTTGCCTATGACTATTTGTCATAACTATTTTGATAACATGATTTAAATATTGCCCATCCGGAATGGAATGATAAACCAAAATTCGATATCTAGTTTAATGAATAAGTTTTTGTCCTCCCCTGACAGAATATATAAGGTAATGTTTTTTGTCATTAAATATATAAGGTAATGTTTTTTTTCATCAGACTGAATACATTGAGCGGTAATATTGTTGTCATACATTGAGCTGTAATATTGTTGTCATAAATGTTTCTGAGTTGTATACTACAACACAGCTTTTTTTGTTCGTTTATTATATACAGACTTGTACAGTTTGATTTTTGTATTTTGTTACTTTACTATAAATGTTTCCCTTCCTCGTGCATCTCATCTCATGAAACCGAGAACTAATTAACTTCTATTTATGCTGAGAATGTATTCACAAACAACCGTTCGATTGGATATTCTTCTTTTAAAAAAAAACTTTCATATCTAGCTTTAAATCGTGAGTAACGAATTCGCCTTAGTATACAAAGTTCTTTTTTTATATATTACCATCTGTTAAATCTTTTGATCTGCATAGCAATCCTTATATTTGCTTAAAGTCTGATAAAATTTTATGTTTTGTGTATTTTATATAGATATGTCTTGCTTCCAAAGATTGTTCTTTTGTCCAGAAGCTGCTTCCTTGCTACTTCACAATTGTTGGTGGTCATATCATTGATTTACTCCATTTCTGTAGCAGTCGTTTATAACTTTTTTTAAGACATTTGACAATTCAATCAAGTAAAAACAAACTATACATTATAGCAAGAACCTTTTCAATTGATATCATTGAATCGTTGATAGATTCGCTAATTCATTATTAAAATCTTAAACGTCCTCCAACAAAATGAAAACAATAGCTAGCAAGAACTTGACCACAAAAGTAAAAGTTGGAATGCTTCACATGCAGCATAATAATAACCTGCTACTTCATGCAATACTAACATATCCTCGAGAAAAGCAAAACCCGTGCATCGCACGGGCGAAAACTAGTTTATAGATAAGCTTTCTACATGAAGTATCAATTTGAAAGAGTATCAATTATTGAGCAACGTTTTAAAAAAACGTAAAACGTGAATAAACGCGAAGACCAAACTTCAAGCTTTACGAGCATAAACAAGATCTAAGCGTAAAAAAAATATGGAAAATGTTAGATGTACATCAAAGTGTACATCAGGGTGTCCATAATAGACACCCGGCACCTCCTCATTGGAGGGAGTGTTTGTGGGACCGACACTCCCTCCAATGAGGCCCTGATGTACAATTTGATGTACAAGAAGCACAACCCAAAAAATATTTTCTTATTTTTAATATTATTATAATTTTTTAATCGTTTTAAATATTATTTAATAATTAAAATAATATATATCTAAAATTATAAAATAAGCCCCTGTTTGATGCTCATTTTTGGGGTAAAATGTGCTACGAAATAGTGATTTTTTGGAGAACGTGTGGTCAATAAATTTTTTTTGAAATACATGTATAATTATTTAATGGGAGCATATATGGTTAAAAATGAGTTCTGAAAAAATATGCTCAAACGGGGACTTACTTAATAACTACGACAATTAGTTAATTATATATACAATTTTTATGTTTTTGAAATGCAAAAACTAGACTAGTTTTCATACTTTCAATTTTTGCTACACAAATCCTATTTAATAGATTAACCTTAACTTCATACATACTTTGGAAAATTTCAACAAAACGAGAAGTCTCAAAATCATGATTACAAAATGTAGATAGTACGGTAGCTTCAATCTTACCTCTCTTTATCGAACAAAGTCATTTTTTTAACTTTTCTATAGATAAAATCATTTAATGCTTGTTTGGGTGAGATTTTTGGACGAAAATTGATTTTGAATAGTGATATGATGAGAAATGTGTGGTTGAAAAAGAAGAAAAAATTATTGATATGATGGAAAATATTATTTTATTGAAGAATGTGTGGTTGAAAATGAGAATTGATTTACTGTAGAATTTTGAAAATCCCTCCCAAACAGGGCCTTAAAAACTTGAAACTAATGTAAAACAAATACTTAGAACAATGCTATTTAGTGAATGAAGTTTTGATCATGATCACAATCCTCTTCAAGTTTTAGTTTGATTTCGAGACAATTTTGATGTTTCAAGTCAAACTCGTGGGTTTGAAAGTTGGATTCGGACTTTGATCTAATGTTATTTTTATACAATTTCTAGATCTTTAAAAAAAGTCAATTAAAAAATTACAAATTGTGGAAAAATGGAGTTTTTATGCTCGGATTGCCCATTCAGTAGTAATCAGCGAAAAACAAATCAGTTATACAACCCCGTCTCCTGTTCTCACTAGAATATAAACAAGTGGAGGTTAGGTGCATGACTACATTTAATACTATTTATATTCCAAAGTAACAATAGATTGTCAAGTGTGGCTAGCATGGATTAAAAATGTGATAACCCCGCTTTCTCATCGCCTTCCACGATCAATGAATTTCCTCCTTTTTTCTTCTATCCTATAGCATTTGAATTAAATAAAAAAAATAAACAAAAGCCTTTTAATTCTCACTAAACCCAATAAATTATATTTTCATCACGTAACTACCAAACTCACTAGAATATAAATAGGTGGAGTTTACATGTATGACTAGATTGAATAATATTTCTTTTAAAGTAATTCGAAGTAACATTGGCCTTTCAAGTGTGGCCGGCACGGATTAAAAATGTGATAACCCCGCTTTCTCATCGCCTTCCACAGCCAATGAATCTTCTCATTGTTGCCTTTTCTTCTATCTTATTGCATTGAATTAAATTAAAAATAAGCAAATGCATTTCGTTCTCACCAATCCACTAAATTTATAGTTTCCTCACCTTACTGTCAAACTCACTTGAATATAAAACGTGGAGTTTCCGTTCATGAATTGATTGCGTAATATTTTTGGTTAAGTATTTCGAACTAAATTAGTTTTTCAAGTCTGGTCAGCAAGGATTAAAAATGTGATAACCTCGTTTTGGTTTTTAATTTAAGACGGTTAACAATTAATTATAACTATTTATTTTATAGAATTCACAACTTATCAACTACACATTTTTATCAAAATTTACTAAATGTATGATTTTAATCACCACCACCTAATATGGGATATATAAGGTTTCGGTGAGTTAAAAAAACCCCCCAATCACTACAATAAGCAGTGACGTTACACAGGAAGTTGGATCACTTGGGTGCTTTTCCTAGTTACTTAGGATGGCATGTCCAGTAATTATTACCAAAAGACTAGACCTCGACACTGGATTGTCTTGTCAACAAAGCTGATTAACATGTATTGTTAAAGTTTGAAGGACGAACTACCTCCTATCATTAAGATTGGTTGTGCAAAATCTTCCGTCTTTTGGAATTGGAGACAAAATATCCATATATGAAAATTCGACTGTGTTTTATCCTATCATCTATTTTACAATAAAAAGTTATAAAATGATGAATATTCTCTCTATTTAAATAAAACAAAAAGGAGAAGGAAAAAAAAATAAAAAACTAATTATAACTATAGTCCCAAATTTTTAAGAAAAGTGAAAATGAGTCTCAAATAAATTATTAAAAAATTAGAAATAAAATTGAAAAAAGAATTCTCCTCCCTTCCACTACCCTATTCCCATCACCACATCTTCCCATCACAACCAGAATCGTCACAACAATTAAAAAATAAATAAAATAGAAAACTTCAACGCCAAGCAATACCCACCACGTTTCCTGTCAGATCTACGACAATTGTCTACCAAAATTTCCCTCTATAAAACCCTAATCCGCTTCTGCATTTCTGAATTTTCATTTCATCAATCTCTATGTTTGAGACTTCGAAATCATCAATTTTAACTATTCCAAGTTCAAATTTTTGGTCCCGTTGTCAAGTGTAGGTTGAATTTGCCACTTGATTGATTTTTCATTACTACAAGCGATCATTTTTTGAACACTCGAAGAGTGACCAAGGTAGGCAGTTCACACTGTCGCCAATGCCTCGAACTTTGGAAAAATTGCAGTAGCAGCCCCAACCTTTCACTTTTTTGCAGGCTTTACTCTAACCTTCAATTTGTACTAGCGAAAATCCATAACCTTTCAAAAATATGTAGCAGGGGTCCAAATGGATAGTTCTCATCCATTTGATCGTTAGTTGACCAAGAAAAATGAATTTTGACCAAATAAAAAGAATTAAATTGTAACTTGATAATTACCATATTAAATAAATGAACCAAGAAACCAAAAAAAAAAAAAAAACAAGGGGTTGTCTTTTTCATCCACCAACCCCAACCCCAACCCCAACCTACCCCAACTCGTCACATCCTCAACCATGATTATCAACTGTCTTCTTCTTAGAATCATCGACTTGTAAGAGGGCCATGGTTTTCCCTTATTATTATTAGCAGAGACGGAGATAGGGGGCAGCATTGTCCGCTGGTCCATTATTCCTAATTAATTTGTAATGTATTTTTCAGTTTCGCTCCCGCAAAAATTTTCCCGCAAAATTTTGAAATTTTTTTCTATTAATAAATATTGACGTAATAACTTACACTTTAAAATTCAGCCATACAAAAATCTTAGACCTAAACAAAAGATCCAATAGTTACTAAAATAAATGAAAAGTTCAAATTCAATCCAAAAGCAAAAGACCCATTTATGAATCAATTAGCCAAAAGCAATTACAGAACGTTCATTTTCAGCTATGAGTATCATTAAGACAATGTTGCGTAATAGAATAGAAAATGATTTTTTGTCAAATACCATGCTTGTGCATATAGAGAAGGAAATTGTTGATACTTTTTTATTAAATTCTCTTATTGACAAGTTTGAAGTGATGAGGACAAGGAAATACGAATTTCAGATGTCGAAGACATCTCTACCATCTGTTATATAGATAAGCAGTTTACTTTTTGTCTTTTTGATATCCATCTAATGTTCATGTTTTCAATTTGTATAACGTTAGACACATAGATTGATATACTATTTTTGTATTGACAAACTGATTGTCTTTTTGGTCAGGCAATCTAACTTGCCTATTTTGGTACTCAAAATTGTCATTTTCAATCATCTTAGTTAAAAAAAAAAAAATTTTCGGGGGGCGAACGCTCTGGAGGGAGGACCACCCCTCTCCATCCCCCGTATTTTCGCCCCCGCAACATTGAAATCCTAGATACGTCCCTGATTACCAGCTATCCTCTTCTTAAAAAAATTGTTTTTTTTTTCTCATGTTGGAGGTGTGGCGGCGACAATGATATTGAAGGGGCCAATTTTGTAACGCGAATAACTCAACGAGGGGTGTGCGAGCAACACCGTCTCCAACCACCATTCAACTCCCATCAACACCACCACCAAAAGTTGCTATAAGCTACAATCATCATGCCAACAACATGGTCTTTTGGTTCATTTATTTTACTATGGTAATTATCAAGTTACAATTTTACCCTTTTTACTTTGGTCAAAATTCATTTTTCTTAGTCAACTAACTCTCAATGGATGTAAATCATTCATTTGGAACTTTGCTACATACTTTTGAAAGGTTAGGGACGTTAATAGGCACAAATTGAAGGTTATGGTAAAATCTGCAAAAAAAAAATAATAATAAAAAAGTGAAAGGTTAGGGACCGCTGCTTCAATTTTCCCTCGAACTTTTCGACTCAAAATATTTTGGCGAGGATGAATCAGAAGAGGAGAGTTCCAAGAATTACGGAGTACTCGGGTCACTGCTAAAACCCTAGATGCAATCAATTCAAGGCTCCAATCCTTGAAAGTTTTGGAAATGTGATTTTTTTATTTTTATATTTTTTTAGAATGTGTGATTAAAAAGTTGAAAAGAAAATTGATTTATGTGAAAAATATTTTATTGTGTGAACGAGTAGTTGAAAATGAGTTTGAGAAAAAAGAGTTGTGAAAATTTAGATGATTGTCAAACAGGAGGCAATTCCATTCCATTTATGAGAACACAGATTATGGTAAATATCGTTTCTATATTTCAGCCAGCAATATTTCATTATGGATTTTTAATCCATTTTTGCTTTGTGCCCAACTAACTTACGTATATAAAGGTAAATATTGTTTTTTTAAAATTTATTTCAGCCAGCAATCTTTCCGTATGTAATTCCATTCCATTTTTTGTAATCGAAAATGTGCCATTATCTCCAACAGGACTTGTAGAGGTTTAGAACATCTACAATACAATCGTGGATTGCTTTAAAAATTCTGCCACGTTGCAAAAAATATTAAGACTTAGATTTTCATCTTAAATTGTTAACCTTAGTAAGAAGAGTAGTCCAAACCTTTATAAGTTGGATTATATTTTCATCTTTATTCGATGAGAAATTTATCTATTAAATTGTCTCACAAGATGGTGGCTCGTTTTACCAAAACAATCTTAAATCTGCATGCTCATTTTTTTTAGTGTCAATCAAATCGAATTGCTCATTAGAGCTTAATGGGTTATGATATTATATTAAGACTTGTTATTACATCTTAAAATGTCAATATTATTAAGAGAAATAACTCAAACCCTTATACGTTGGTATATGTTATCTTTGGTCAATGTGAGATTTATCCCTTAACAAAAATCGACGGTGTTCCAATGGAAGCTAAAAAGGACTCCATCAAACTGACGTAGTAGAGAAATTTTTAGAGCGCAAACTAGATTCAAATGCTCTCTTAAACACAGGGATCCATCAAAATTTATATTTTCTATCCAACTTCAGACATGGTTTTATCTTTATCATAAGAAAATAACAGGCACCTAAATAGCAATCCATAAAACGTATTGGAGATTAATTTTATATCAAACAAAAAATCATATTCTCATTGTTATTCATTTGAAAACAAATTGAGGACTAACCTTTTAGGTTGTTGAGACATATTTTGTAGAACGAGTGAGAACGATTAGATTAATTTGGTCTATTGTGGTTGCTAAAAATATACAAACATGGAATCTTCCAATAATGTAATTATGAGCCGAACACAATGCTGAAAAGGGTTTCGAAGATCATATTCCAAATTTATTAGGAACAAATCTGGTGACATTTTCAATTTCTTGTTTAATATTTTATTTCAAAATTTTATTCTTAGTTTGGTCAGCGATACTTGTACTAGATTAGATGCCATGATCCATCCTTGCTTGAAATGGATTTGTTAGAAACAAATAAGATATCAGAATCGCTCTTATATCAATTTGGTCAAGTATCTAGGTTAGATTCCATGATCCATCCCTTGGTTGAAATGGATTTGTTAGAAATAAATAAGACACTAGAATTGCTTTGATACCAATTTGTTGAGAACCGAGCCAAATAATAAAGACGAGAATAATATGAATAATATGAAAATAATGGATAAAAAAACAAAATTTACGTGGAAACCCAAATTCGAGAAAAATCACGGGCAGCGACGAAGAATTAACTATAATCAATAATAAGGAGTTACAAAAAATCTTTTTGTACCAATAACTAATTAATCAATTGGTCAATCTCAATATGTGTTGTATAACACATATTTATAATTAAAAAATTCCTCGCACACTAAGAGAATATAATACAAATAAGAGACTAATACAATGTGAAATCCTATTACAATAGGTAAAAATAATAATGGAATATTCGAGATGAAATATGTGTTGAAAACTGTCAACAAATGGAATTAGGATCCTAATCAATTTTGGACCTTTTCAAGACATCTTCAAGTCTACAATCAACTCTCAATAACCCTCTATCAGTATTTCCAATCAAATACTCAACAAGAATTCGGGTCACACCGAAATTCTAACAAACTTCCACCTTGATACCAATTTCACCGCAATGAAGGAAACTTTCAAAAATTTCACCTGGAGACGAATTCCACTACAAGGAATAAAACCTACTCTTAAATTTCAACAAAATTCTCCAAACAAAACACTCCACCAAATTATCCCTGAACCTAAATAATCTTCACAAGTGGTACTGGTAGCATCCTCGACAATGTTCCACGTTTAGCTCGTGCACGCCCTAAAATTACCGTTGCATCTTCATTTCAACGTTGTGGGTCCAGGTCCTCTACGATATCCATGGCCGGTATTATCTTCACTGTTCTTGGCATTCACATCTACGATTCCGATTAACAACTTCATAACCTGAACCAAGAAATTGGATATGTTAAATAATTTGAGGGGTTAATTGAACAATAATATCATAGATGGATCTAATGCTCTCAACAAAATATTTTGTGTTCTATCTAGGTATAGTGGTATGCTCGATAATAGATGAATGAAAGTTTAGTAAAATGAAAATACCTGCAGTTGGTGAGTTAATGCTGCAAGATGCAGAACTGTACTGCCTTCCTCATCTCTACATCTCAAAACTGCTGTGTCGTCACTTCTACGAACCAACCAAGCAAAACCTTAAAACCTCTTAAGTTTTTGTTTCTGACTGCAATATGCACAGCAGGTTCATCTCGAATGGTCACGTCCTTGATTGAGGACTGGTATACGATAAGAAATCTAATCAAAAGATTGATGTTGTCATCTGATTCCGCTGCATAATGCAAAGGAGTGATTCCTCCCCTCCCAGGGACACGAATAAGGTCCGGATCATGTCTGACATGCCGCTTCACAGTAGTGATGTGTCTATTAAGCAAAGCCAGGTCAAATGGGTATGACCATTAAGGTTCAATTTCCTCCCCAGCATTGGCTCTGACCATCATTGTAGGATTTTAACTTAGAAGACTATACTTTCCTTTGTTGTCTTCAGGGTTATTGAATCCAGGGACGGACCCAGCAAACCATCCCAACCTGGGCGGACGTTGATCGGTCAACGTCGGCTCAAAATTAAGCCGTATCTACAACAGTTGCAACTCTTCGACTCAAAATAATTACGTGTGAATCTAGCTAATAATTGCGTTTGATAAACTCCCAATCCCTTCAATTAAATTCCCCAGTAATTTCAACTTCAAAATATCACAAGTTAAACCTTCTTTTTCTTTGTAGACTATGCCGCACAATACCCATCTCCACCGATTATGAATTCTCTCCATGATTTGCATCAGAAGACTGCAAAATTACTTAAAATTTTACTTATAAGCACTCAGATCTTTTAAATAATATTAAATCTATTCAATATCTATCACCAAACAACGCCCAAAAAATTTCATCGCATCACCCAAAAAGATTCAATTAAATCGAGACGTGACAGAACAAAACACTGCATCAATGATCAAACCAACAACCAAAAGTATTATAAAGTTGACCAACTTAGCTCATATAATTATCTACATTCAAATCCACTTCTATGGGTTTCCCAGTTAAAAAAAATTAAAAAAAAAATTGACTTTTCATACGAAAACAAGTAATTTAAAATGAAATTGCGCAAACCTCGAATGCTTGAACGGCATAGCCAGAATGAAGAAGAGAAGCCACCAAATCCAAAGTGATTTCATCCAAGCCAACAAAACCCACTGCACCTTAAGCCATTCTATGCAAATAAGTAGATAATATTAGTGAGTTTATTGTTCCCATCTTTCTCTCTGGATCTAAGATACTTGAACTAATTTAGAGCATTAACAGACAAACGTTTAGCTTACTTTTCTACTTACGATTTCAAACTCACCAAAACTCGCTACGGAAGGGACTCGAAAGGATCGGACGGACGTCAGATGAAAACGATAGCAGCCTAACAGCGGGCTAGCCGGACTCATGGTGGTGGTGGCAGGCGGCACTGAAGCAAGGGACGGGCGATTGGGCGAGAGTCGAATTGGAAATCGGTGAAGATGAATCTCAATTTGGGGATGAATTTTGATTTAAACAAAGAGGCCATTGGGCTTTTATATATTATAAAATTTTGGATTGGGCCCAGAATAAATGGCCCAATCCAATTACAAAAAAAAAAAAGGGAAAATTAGGTCTGGTACGGCCTTAGAGCACTAAAATTGATTAATGCACTTGACCTTTTAACTTTTTCTTCATACGTATTAATTACGGTACAATAGAGAAAGATATTTTAGCCTCCTCTTTCAAGCTCTCCTTCACTATCCCAATTCTTCGACTCTCACTGCCTTCCCCTTCCTCGAACTTCCCTCCGTAGATTACTCACCAATCTTGTTACCATATTGATGCACCTAGCCTTCATCTCCTACTTGGATTC